TGCCTACAAAATGTGTTTACTCATTTGTTTTGTATTGTACAATCTATGTTTCTTAATTTCTAGGTGTGCATCTCACTTTTCATCTTCTTTGGATTAGCAATTCTTTTTCTCATTAACTCAAGTTTAATATGTAATCTGCTGTAAGACAGTCTCAAAATTAAATTTTACATGAAACTGAATAGATATTTTAATACTTTCAACAAAACTGGAATCCCTTACTTGATTTAAACTAAAAATGATCACAAACCAGACTTAGATTTGTTGTAACTATGTTCAAGAAAGACATTTAAAAATTAACATATATTTTCTGTAGGCTAAGAATTTATATGAGACAGAAAACACATTTTTAACATAAAAAATAGTGTTTGCTTCAGCAGCACATACATTAAAATTTAAGATAAAAAATAACGTTGGGCTGGCTGGATGGCTCAGTTGTTTGAGTGTCTGACTCTTGATTTTTGGCTCAGGTGATAGTCTTAGGGTCACGAGATCCATTGCTAGTGGGCCTCCCCACTCTGTGGAGGTCCCTCTGCCCCTCCTCCCACTCTGGTGCATATGCACATGCAGACTCACACACACACACTTTCTCAAATAAATAAATAAATAAATAAATCTTTAAAAAAAGATGAAAATATTGTCTCATAAGTGGAAAATAGTATGAATTAAGAAGCAATGAGATTTAAATAAAAATGGCTAGATAAAGTTAATCTTACTATGCTGCTATTAATTTTTTATAAAAAAGTCTTATAAATAAATAACTTGCAGAACAATTTATATATTTTTACCTTACTATGAAAAAAAATCCTACCATGAATAAGCCTCTTACACATGGGAGAAAAATATTTCATAGTAATTCTGGTCATCTGCCAAAATTCAATTATAAACAATAATTTTGACTTCTCAGCATAAGTCAAATCTCTTCATAACATTGTACCATATAGTAAACTGGTCTTTCCACCTGAGCAAAGGGTAAAAACTCATTATGGGAGACATAAGATTTATAAATGAAGTTATTTTATTTGGAATGCTAACTAAAATAATAAATTTATAGATTATCAAACCATGTTTGAATGGGTACCTTTTACAAAAGCATAATCTTTTAACACCCCCATATAAGCACAGACTTTCTTTGAAAAATCAGCAGCAGCAAGATTAGGGAGTTAAGAGGAGAGACTTTTTTTTAAATGTTTCCTGTTTTTATTTAAATTCTAGTTAGTTAACATATAGTGTAATATTAGTTTCAAGAGTAGAATTTAGTGATTCATCACTTACATACAACACCCAGTGCTCATTCCAACAAGGGCTTTCCTTATTACAGCCCATCCCCCTATCTATCTCTCCTCCATCACCCCTCAGTTTGTTTTCTACAGTTACAGTCTGGTTTATGGTTTGCCTCCTCTCTTCTTTTTTCTTTCCCCTATGTTCATCTGTTTTGTTTCTTAAATTCCTATACAGAGTGAAATCGTATGGTATTTGTCTTAGAAGAGAGTATTTTATATATATTAATTTAACATATGGTTAGAGAAAAATTACAAATCAATCGGTAGGAGGAGAATTATTTAATAAACAATTAGGTCAGTTAGTCATAATTTGGAAAAAATAGTATAGGTATTTGGTGCATAGGAAACATCAAAATAAGTTATGGTGCGATTAAAGAGTTAAAATATTGAACAATTTAGAAATTAAATAGTTAAAAGAAAAGGAAAAAATGAACTATTTTATCAAACTTCTGGTTGATAGATAACTTTCAGAGCTTAGGAACAAAATATTTACAAAAAGTAGGTAAAAATATAAAATATGTGTATAAATATGATGTGTGTTTGTGTATCCACCCAAAAAGTAAAGGAATGAAAACAAACAAACAAACAAAAAAAAAACAAAAACAAAAAGTAAAGGAATGATATATTTGGTCAACCTAAAATTTTTAAAAATAAACACATAATTTTTAAAAAAGTAAAAAAAAAAAAAAAAGTAAAATACAAAACAAACCCCAAACTATCACTGACATAAAAAGAAAGTAACAAAAGATAGGAGAGGAAAATGCCAGAAAAGGAGTTAATACTTCCAAACAAAGAGTTCGTATAATCTGATACAAAAAATATGCCCTGACCTGATCCATACAAATGGGCAAAGAATATGCACAGAAAGTCAAAAAGGATATTACAAATTAAAAAGTACATGAATTTATATTTGATGTAAAAGCAAACAAGGAGATTCAAAATACAAGAACAAAATACTTTTAACCCACTAAAATAGCATTTTAAAAATACTTGAAATGGTAATCAGAAATGTTTATATAGAAACAGGTCCTCAGATTTTTCTTGTGGAATTATAAATTTCAATCTTTTATAAAAGCAAATTGGTAATACATACCAAATGCTAAAAACACTGATATTGTTTAATTCAGTGATTCTATCTTTAGATGTATACACTTTTAAAGATCCAAAGTAGGGGGAAAAAGATATATTCAAGATGAACACCATGAACTGGTTATTTAGAAAATATATATATTAGGACATATATATTTTATATATATGCATTTTATGTTATTTGTTTTTTAAATTGAAGTCATTTAATGTACATATTTTTACTTGTTAGTTCAACACTGATTTCCACTATACATGCACAGCCATTTAGTTTAACTTGCTTCATATTTATTTACTTTCCAACATGCTGTATTTATAAGTTTTAAAGGATTATTTATGAAAGTAAAGCCCTGGAGTATAAGACAAACATTATGTCACTGAGGAATATCTCCTCATGGATTTCTGTTCTAAGAACAAAAATGTTTCATGAGGGAAAAATAATTTTAAGTTCCAACAACAAAATCACAGTTAAGAAAATGCAAAGATATAAAATCGTATGCATAAAAGAAAAGGAAAACCGAACCATTTCTATTCAAAAGAAGCCCTAAAATATGACTTAAATTGACATGAATTGTATGGAGCTGAATCTCACCAGGAACTAGATTCTCTGCTACATGTAAACGGATTCCGTGGTTCCTTGGCTCCTTTCTTTCCAGCTCTTTAAAAGTGAATTCCTTTCCAAGCCCCAACATTTTAGCAATTACTTCAAAAAGCAACCAGCATGTATGCTTTCTCTTAACTGTGACCTGTCTTTGTTAAAACTGTGAGAAGTCATCAGTGCATTCGGGAACTCCTTCCAGCTGGTTGTTTTTTCCTCTCTATCAGAGTCCATTTAGTGTTCGATTGAAGGATTAGGGTAACCCATGTATGTTTGAATGTATCACCTCCATTCATTCGGAATGTCCCCAATGCATAATGCTGCATTGCTCACTCAGCATACAGTCTTGAGCCAGGCTAACTGGTAATTATTTTCACAGCTTTCCAGAGAAATATAAAGTATACTTTCAAATAAAGTGCTAAATGGAATGACTTAACAGCACTCCTGAATTCCTGGTCTTTATTTAGTTGAAACTGAGTAGCAGCTGGAATAAACTGGAAAGGCCAGAGCAAGGGGGAAAGACCTCATTTTCTCATTGTTCTTCCATGGATGAAAAATAAAAGGGTACTGAGCAATTGGTGCTGTGATCTGGAATAACCTTAAAATCAAAAGAATAACTGTGGATGAATTTGCCTTCCAAAGGGAAAACGAAGAAAGCTTTAGCTCAAAGTTTTTTAGATATCCTTTTAAGAGAGCCAGGTCATCAAAACTATTTCGAAATTTTTTTTTTCAACTATTAAGAAGGCAACATGTTATTTCAGACAATACTTACTATATGTATAAACTTGTACATGAACCTAATATAGTGAATCTGTGCATTATATTTATGCTCATTAATAGGCTTCAGAATTTACTACTTCAAGTTGGACTTACAATGATTAATTTTTAACCATTTTCTGAGAACTCAAATTTTATTTATCTGGTGCTAAATCTCCAGAAAGGAATTGCAGAAGGATTTCTAAAAATTAATTTCGCAAAAAGTGGAAAACATACATGGTAGAGTGTACATATGCACTCTATATACATATATATGTGTGTGTGTGTGTGTATGTATATATATATGTATATATATATATTTCTAAAGTGAGCTTTGAGGAAAAGAAAAAACCTCCAAATTTCAACAGATCTCTACCCTATAAGTATCAAATCCACTGTTTTTGGGCTGTATTTACTTGCTGATTTCTCTGTAGGTGAGTCTTCCCTGGCTGCTTGCACGGTTGACTTTCAACATCTAACTCTCAGCTCAAATATCTGTTAACTCATGATTTCCTGCCTGATAAGAGAAAAATGAAAAACGGGATTCATAAAATCCCCAAGTCCTGACTTCAACTATTAGCTTCTACAATTTACAAAAAGCAAACGATCAGCTTATTATAATCCTAAAGTGATAAGCAATGGAAGGGGAAAGAAAAGCAAAGGACTGCAAAGTTTCAGAGCTTACCTAAATGAGAAGTAATTACAGTGCACATGGCAAACTAGAAATAATACTTTTATGCCATTTCCATGCTAACTTTTCCCTATACACACATCTCCATTTTTAAATGGAAAATAAAATCTTTGAAGTTTAAAATCAGTAATTATATGACGCCTCCTTAAATTGTGAAGAATAATGCAAGTAAGAAGAATATACATTGTTTACATATAATATGTTCCATTTAGTTATGTAATATAATTACTCTTCTAAAATGAAATAGCAAATACCCTTTTTCTCCACACCTGTGTTAAGCAAGTCATGCATGTTGGGGCAGCTGGATGGCTCAGTTGGTCAAGCAACCACCTCTTGATTTCAGCTCAGGTCATGATCTCGGGGTCATGAGATTGAGCCCCAGGCCGGGCTCCAGGCTCAGCAGGGAGTCTGCTTGAGATTCTCCCTCCTCCGTTGGTCCCTCCCCCCGCTTGCATACATGCTCTTTCTCTCAAATAAATTAATTTAAAAAAAGTTATACATGTAATTCACTTCAATATTTTAAATATTACTCTTCAATGATATCCAGATACACATGTTTCTTTGCTTTTGTAAAGGTTAGTTATCTCACCTTGCACTTTGGACACTTCTGGGCATTTCTCTGTCCATGCTCAATTTCGCTGGCCCAGTGACGCAACAATTTGTCCCCTTTTTTGTACTCCTTGCAGTTAACACCTTCATGCCAAGGAGAATGGCACTTAAAACACCAGACGAATTGGCAAGTGGGGCACTGGATCTGTATAAGGAAAAGTAAAATTAAGCACTAGCAGACATATTGAGAGTGTTTAAAAAGATAAAAATAGTGATGCTTGAGGAAATTAGCTAAAAGATTATAATTTGTCCAGATTTAAAATATTGCTCCCTCTACAAGATTAAACTACAAGATGTGACTCTTAACATTATTAAAGGAGGAAAGAATGGCTTTGGTATAGATGATAAGGCTGTCTGTACACTATACTGGAATTAAACACTGGGTCCTTCTGGAAATCATTTTGGCCTTATAAAAGTCCTCTGGGTTGAAGCACAGAATAAAACCTGAAGGCTCACAATACCTCTAATCTACATACTCAGGCTGTTGCCTTTAAATCCACCTTTCCCTTGAACCAACTTCCCAGGCATTTCCATTGCTCTTTTTACCAATGGCTTTATTCACTTTTAAAAATCAAAGCCTCAAAAAAAAAAAAAAAATCAAAGCCTCATAGATGCTCCATCAAATGAAAAACACACTGGCAAATAAACTTAATAAACTACTAAACCAGCATTTGCTAGCAAGTACCCTTTCAAATAAAGGATATACCTCATTTGCTATTAATCTAAGGGAAGTTAATTATAAAATCAATACAAAGGATCCCTATTAGACATATATCTGTATGGGGGTCCTGTGGCCTGTGCCTAGGAAACCATCAAAAAGATGTCTTTGTATTTTCACTATATGAGAGTGTGTGTTTATGTTCATTGAAAATATTTGTCTTCCACTTAACATAGAAGACATTTTATCGGACTTCCTTTATTTTGAATGACAGGGAAGTATCCCATTATCATACAGTATTTCTGGTCTTCACTATTGAAGAACATATGAGCATAATTTGATTTTCTCAGCCCTGTTTGATTAAAGCGAATGAATAAAATGTTTCACTATGAACAACATTGCTAACTACTCTTCTCTGCGCTCCAATATATTATTTCATGCAGCGTGAATGAATTTACAAGTACACTCTGAAGATTAGTTAGAATTTCTTTTGTTAAACTGTCGACAGTATCACTACTTCTTCAGAAAACCACTTTTTTGACACGAAGTTTCCAATATGCAGATTAACCACAGAGCAATTATAATCACAGCTCTTATGTTTATAACTCAAAGCAGTACAGTTTTCACTAATGTCTAGAATAGGTAATGTTCTTCCTATTTAAATATGAAGTAACAGAAGTACTTTTGCTTTTAATTTATATCAAAACAAAATAGTATTTTGTCCTAAAATTTTAAACATCATGTTTATTTATTTGTTGAAATTCTGTCATGTGTAATGTTTGTACTGCTGCATAACATGCAGTATTTATTTTTACCCACAAAATAATGCTACAAAGTAGGTAAAATCACAAGTTTACAGATAAGAAAACTAACACTCACAGAGATTAAATAACTCACCCAAAGTAATATAGCAAGCTTGTGTTAAGAAGAAATTTAAACATAAGTTTGTCTGGCTCCAAAGCCAGCATTCTTTTCACTTTGGCAAACACTCCCTCATACTAAACAGTATTCTTTCTTTGGTAATTGAAAACCAAAATGTTAGCAGTCAAAGGTCATGTGGTTAAGCTATTCAGTAAGTCAGAATTCTATATGACTACCAACATACAGTGAATTTCGAAAATCCTTTTCAAAATTTTACTTACATAAATTAGGAGACTCTTTGGTTAAAAAAAAAAGTATGTTGCTATTTAGTGCTTTAAAAATCAACATTTTTGTCTTCTCTGATCATTAAAGTTAAAATAAGTCATTTTAAAGAACAATGAATTGAAGTGGGTAAATTCCAGCTACTAAAATGATATAAAATGATCATTCCTCCATGTCCTTGAACAATGATGAATAAATGTAAAAGCCATATGGGTCCTCCGTGAATATCATCTTCGGATGTAATGAATGAAATGGGGCAGAAGTCAGAAAGACTCGCTTTTCCTCACGCATCTGCTATTCTCATAAGGGCTTGAATATTCAACTAAGTTCTCTTCTATTCAACATTATTAGTAATTCTGTCACTGACCTCTAGCACTGTCAAATAAAAAAAAATTCTCTTTGGTTCTTAGTATTTCTGAAATAAATAGAAGAGTGGATGAAACAACAATTTGACACTGGGATTAACTCTGTGGATATTGGACATCACAATGGTTCGAGGATTTTTGTGACCAAGTGCTGGACGGTCACCCCTATGGATCCTTAATGAAGAGAGTTAGAAATGTGTGATTGTCCTAATGTACCAGAATGATAAGGAATCTGATACTTGGGTGTCTACACCAGTGACTCTGGTTCCCAACTTTGTGCAATAAACAGCTAAATCCCACAGTATATCCTACTGCCAATCTTCACCAACAACATGGACTCTGTGGCAAATTGAAAAAAGTTTTGCAGCAAGCTCTCAAGTGAAGAGTACTCCTCTTTAAATTCAGACCCAACTGCTTATTGTCTCTCACTGAAAAAATTAAACTATTGCTTTGCTCTAGAATAAGATAATAAAAAGACTAATAGGCAGCCCTAACAACTCTGTTTTTCTGAATGGTCTAAATTCTAACTTTCTGGTCTGAAGATGCCTTATTCTATTGTGGCCTTAACCATATTCAAAATTGGCTTGATTAAAAAAACACATATCAACATCAATGCTGCATCTTCTTTCACTCCTTTTTAAATATTTATTTCTCCACACGAAACACCATCTCACAACCACAGACCTCCCACACAGATTGCCTGCCTTCTCAGTAATTATATTCACAAAGAGGTCACTATAGTTCCAGCCTTGTTACTCAAAGTGTGGTCCAGGGACCAGCAACATTGGCATCACCTGGGAGGTCGCTGGGAACAAAAAAATCACGTCACAGCCCACACCTACTGAATCAGAGTCTGAATTTTCACTAGGTCTCCTGGTGATTCAGATGCACGCTCAAGTCTGAGGAGGTCTGCTCTGCCCCTGTCTCCCTGGCCACAACTGATTCCACCAGCAATGAGTCCCTAAGCAGAAGCATGTATCCTCGGGCCGGCAAGCAGCCTGTGAGGTGGCTGGCAAGACAGATTTCTTTTTCTCTTGAGGAGTAAAATGGGAATACACATACACTTTACCTTTGTTGTGGAGACAAAGTTAAGAAAAGCTTAGTGACCACAGTGCAGATCATAAGAAACGGGAACAATAATTCACATCTAGTGACACAACAGAGGGGCTCTCATGCTGCTAGAGACAGTGTCCAATTCTCTGCAAGGTCTGCTTTGGTGGCTGCTGAGGCTGCTCTCTTGCCCTTCCCTCTTCCTGTGGAGACTTACAGCAAATCTCATGAACTGAGATAGCTTGAGACAAAGCATATCTCTGCCTTTCGTAATTGGAGAAAGTCCAATTAACACAATCTGTCTATTGAAATCTTATCCAGATCAAATGCTACTTGCTTGGAGATGTCTTCCCTATCCTCCCAAACAGATTCAGTATCTTTCTTAGAGAGCTCACATTCAACATGTAGATGTCTAATCTCTCTAACAAGCTACAAGCTCACTGAGGTTACAGAAGCTGTCTCAAGTATCCCCTACTTCTTGAGATAAGTAACAGAACTTCTGGCTCATGGTAGGCCCTCAAAGTTATTTGTAAAATGAATTGTTTGGCACACAGCAAGTACTATGTATTAGCTAATGTTAAATGAATTAAAAGAAAACCAACATATCTAATTTATGATCAGTGACTAAGATGGTATCATCTTTTCTTAGATTACCAGATCATGTTTACTAAATGTTTTATCTAGGTGACATTTTACTGAACATCAAGATTGTGATCAAACTCTTCTACAACAGACAGGGCTGCAAGAGTTTCAAGAATAAAGTTATCAGAGTTAAGAATCTTGATTAACTTGTTCCAGAATCCATGAAAGATTAAAAAAAACCCACCTTTATCTTAAATTTTAAACTTCTTAATTTCTTTAGTTTTTCTAAAAATCTGGGCTACTATGACACTCACAAGATAATTTAAATGCACTGACTTGTCTTACACAAATGATATTTTCTCTTGACAGTTCATGCCAAATAAAAAAATAACCCACAAAATATGGAGTTCCAAACCAAAAAGGACCCCAGACATGTCTTTTTTAACCTAATTATATACACTCCTATATACATAATTATTTTAAACAAATCATGAAATCATTACTTATCAAACTTAAAATATTAGACAATATCTATGTTTGAAATAATCATTGCAAATATGCACTAACTCGGTCTTCCAAGAAAAATTTGCTTTATTAGAACTACAGGGTAAGATAGATACGCAATAATGAAACATACTCATTGATTCATTTGCCCATTCAACTAATATTTATTAAGCAACTTCAAGTAGCAGGTACTGAGTGTACTGTGTTAGGCACATACAAAAGAATTAAAACACTTATCCTCAAGGAATTTATTGAAGATGGACAGGTACAAACACAGAGAGCTATCAAACCATGTAATTACTGCTAAAAGAGAAGCTTGGACAAGTGGGAATCATAGGAAAGGTGCTTCAGGGAAGATTGGGAGGCTAATGTTCAGAAAGAAGGTTGCCTTGAAGGCTGAATGGAATGTCACTGGGGCCAATGCTAGAGTAACATTTCCGGCTGAGGGCCCAGCCTAAGCTTCCACAGAGGCCTGAAAGCACCTAGAGCACTAGGGAGAGAGCAAGGGTTCTCATGGGGCCCAAAAAGAGATGCCACTTCAGCCGCTTCAGTCCTGAGCCTTGCTGAAGTGTCCAATAAACAGGGTTCAGTTAGTCTTATATTTATGTTCCTACATCCTTGATGTGTCTCTCAAAATACACTGTGGTCTAGGAACTTCTTAAATGAAACATAAAACTTATGGCTGTCTGACTAGGCTGTGTCCTAAGGAAACTGATCAATATAGACATAAGAGGGAAATCTCGTGGTTATAAAAAGTTTTATAATAACTTAAGATGTCTTTCTTGAAGACGAGAAGATTGGGAAGAAGTACAGGGTATCATAGAGAGGAGAAAAGTAGTGTTT